ATTCCTCATTTTCCTTGTAGAACTGCATACGCTCCTGATCCAATTGGATGCTTCTTGCCTCTAGTTCCTCTATTTCCTCTGAAAGTTTGGCCACATCACCCCGCAAGGTCTCGCTGCGCGAGTTACACTCTAATTCTGTCCGCTCAGCCATCTCCGCAAGACGCCGGGTGTGTTCTGCCTCCACATCATCAAGCTTTTGCTTTAAAAATTGTGTTTCCGCCCTCCGCTTTTCCATAACATCGTTTAATTGTCTTTCAAGCGTTTGTCGCTCTCTCGTCTCACGATCCGCTCGACTGTTTGCCCCATCCAACTCCTCCTTCATCGTTTTCACGTAATCCCGCACAGTTTTTAGCTCCTCCCGCGCCTGCGTCAGTTCAAATCGTGCGATCTCCAGGTCACGTTGGACATTCGACCACTTGAGACGCTCGCGCGTCATTTGGCTCACGCGTGCGCGTAACTCATCAAGCTCCTGGAAAGACGCAAAGGCCGAGTTTGCCATTGAAAGACGACAGGAGAGACGCTGCGAAGGACAATGCATTGGCCGCAAAGAATTTATACTGAACGGTGTCCTCGTCAATTCAATTTCAGGGTCTGCCGCCTTTTTTGATGCACTTTTCGGCTCCTCCTGTTTTCCTTCATTCTGAAGATGCGCCTTCTCGCCGGTCTCTGGAATCGGGTCCGAGATGTGAATGCTCTTCTGCAGCCACAGACTGTCGTTGTCGTCAGCGCTCATGGAGCCTCACTCAAAGAGTCAAAATTAGTAAAAAGAGAAACGGGTGATTCTTGCTGTGTTTCTGTGTGTGTGTGTGAAAAGAGCAAAAAAAATAATAATAATTTATGGGGTAAAGTCGTTCCGTCTGCCCTCGACAAAAGTTAAACAACAACGACAGTAAATAAATAAACACACACAAAAAAAAAAAAAAAAAAAACTGAAAAGAGACCAACGCCACCTTTTTATTCTCCCCACACGCCCCTAATGACGGATGAAGTACCCCACTCACTGTTACCGACAGTCGGACCGGAACGCCCGCCCCTTCTCTCAGCTCTGGCGCCGGGCCATTCAATGAACTCGCCAGAAGGGAAAAACTCGAAAAGGCGACGAAACAA